CCAAGATAGGTTTCTTAAGAAACAGAAAAGCCTTCCCCAGAGCAGAAGCTTTAAGACCAAAGCACCTGCTGATAGCTGACCTAGGACTGGCTGAACAGCCACAGCGGCAACCAAGGCGCACACAAGAAGCAGCAGCTTTTCTACTGGAAGTGAGAAATACAAACTACACATTCACCCACTTCCTCGGCTGTACCATGGACCAGGCCTTGTGTTGCTCTTGGAAGATAAGATGGTAAAGACCACACAGCGCCTGGTGCTGAGGGTGGCACATTCCAGCAAGATGGACAGACTGCCCAGCATCTGCAGGACGCACTGAGCACCTGGGACAGGGAGGCTGCACTATCTCCCCAGAAGCTATAAGCAAGGAGCAGAAATTCTTCCCTGTTAAGTGCACAAATGGCTTAGAATAGTTAATTTTTCTTTTCTTTTATTTCCAGTGAGATGAGGGAGATGGGGAGATTGAGGAAAGAGGAAGACCCAAGTACAGTTAGGGACAGAGGCACAGGGAGGATGACAGAGGGGTGAAAGGCCGAAGTCCTGAGCCCCTCATAATGCCCACACACACACACCCAGAGGTGACCTCAGTGGAGGAGAGCCCTGAGGCAGGCTGCTCTGCTGGTCACTGGGGAGGCCCAACAGGACTGTGGCCATGGTGAGTGGCCACTGCCTTCAATGTGTGGCTGGCCTTGGCGAGGAGGCACTGTGCCATGCTCTCATTCAGTACTGGATATGCTTCCTGATCCATAGGAGCCACCCAGTTGGCACTTGCTGGGGGGCAAGGACTGGGTGGATAAGGGGGTGGATGAATGGAAGGATGGACGATGAACAGATGACTGATGGACACATGGATCATGGATAGATGGATGATGGACAGATGGACGGATGAAGAACAGATGACAGGTGGAGGATGAATTGATGGACAATGGATGGATGGATGGGAGAAAAAAAACGAATGGATGGATGGTGAACAGATAACAGATGTACGGATGATGAACAGATGATGGATGGATGGATGGAGGGATGGAAGGAAGGATTCCCCTCCAGGAAGCTGAGATGAACCCTGACTGTGGACTAGAAGTCTTCCCATCAAACCTGGCTTGGAGAAGAGCAAAAGCAATAAGATATGTAAACTACAGGCTGTTAGCCTCTAAGATCCTGAAAAGGACCCCAGGAACCAATCAGTCCTGAAGTTCAAGTTCCCCACCCCAACTAGAGAGCCCTTCCTGCTGGCACCCCAGCCTGACCTCCCGCCACTCCCTGCCCTGTATGTCCACTGCAGCAACCTGATGACACACAAGTCCCTGAACATGCTGAGGCTCTGCAGACCTCTATCCCCAACCTATCCACAGTCAGTCAAGTCCATTCCTATGGACCCAGTCCCAGAGTCACCCAATCTAGGAAGCTCCCCTGGCCTCTGACTACCCTGAACCCTCCTGGACAGAGGGCACCACTCCATCCTCAATGCTCTCACAGGTCTCTGTCCACATCTCTGTCTTCCTCATGTAGATATGAGTCCCAAGAGGGCAGAAACAGTAACCTGGTACAGGCCTGGCATGGAGCTGGGGATCACTAAGTCTGGAGAAGTGACAGAAGGAAGCATGGCTGAGAGGCAAGGCTCCAGCAGCCACCAACAGGCTTCCCAGAGCAAGGCTTCTGCCCTTAGCCCCTCTCTGCAGCTGCCAGCTGATGAGTGCAGGAGCAGCAGGCCCTGGAGTGAGGGGAGGAGGCCTCACCACCTTGCCTCATTTCTGAGTCAGGCCAGCCAGCAGACATGCAAGAGCACAGCACCAAGACGATTGTCACTGCCCCCAAAGCCTCACTCAGCAGCCAGGGGTCTTGAGGAGAACCAAGGGGAAGACCAGAGGTCTTGAGTCTAGCCCACTCCCCAGTTAAGGCTTGACTGCAAAGATCCATGCTCCCACCAACCCCAAAGCAGAACAGGCTCCACTGGGGAAAGGGATCCCTCCAGTGCCTGCTCCCTCAGCAACCCCGAAAGGCAGCTGCACAGTGGGCCCCAGGCCTGGGACCAGGAGACCAGAGTGTTGTCATCCCCAAGCCCAGCCTCCCCATGGGGATCCTCTCAACACCTTTCTAAGATGATGCACTGATGCGGTGGCCACAAAGCCAGCTGAAAGATTCCATGGGAAACAATCTGAAACCAGGACTGAGATGGACAACAAGGGATCTCCATGTGGGGTCTGTTACAGGAGCCCATAAGAACCCCGCCCTCCGCATGTCCCAGTGCCTTGGTCCACAGCCTCACCCTTCCTACCAGCAAGGACAGGCTCCTGACCCTGCCAAGCCCAGCCAGTGTGCCCCTTGTGAAGCAGGATCACAGAGAGGCCAGCGGTGCCATGTGACCACTGCCACCGGGCCCAGGGCCACCCACAGTAAACAGACACCCTGTGGATGCTGCTAGGAAGATGGCTCCCAGTGCAGCACCCTGCCAGCCAGCCAGGTCACAGGCAGCCGCGTCTGTGTCTCACACCAACAACAGTGAAAGTGCCAGCCTCAGCAACAGAGTCACGTTTTGCAAAATGTTATAGATTCCAGCAGACCCACCCCGCTTCCTCTCTCCCTCCCTCCCACTCAGCCAGGTTTGCAAGTGGAGTGCAGAAGTCACGGCTGGGATGGCCATGCACCCCACGCCGACAGCAGCACATCCACTCCACCCCCAGCCGGGCAGGACACTGACCCATCATGGATGGTAGTGGGGAATGAGGCCATTACGTCTCAATAACAGTTTCAGAAAATCTAGGACATGTCTAGCAAGGGATCACCCCTGTGAACATCACCTGTCCCCGTCACAACAAAGAGGAGGCTGGGTCTGTCTGCTCAACAAACCCAAAGCAAAGCCTCCAGCAGTGACGAGGTACTTTGTACAGGGCTGGCATTCTCAGGCGTCTCTTGGGGAACCTGCTGGGCTGGCCAGCAGGACAGGTCCGGGTTCACCTCCAGAGTCCGGATGCCTTCACCTACCAGGCTTCACAGAGGCACCACAATTCCACGTGCGTAAGCATCCAGAACACTTCTGCCAGGCCCAGGCCAGAGGCAGTCAACCCACATCTTCCCCCATGAAGCCAGCAGGTCCTTGTCAGTATGGAAGAGAGGGCCTCCGGGATGGGTGGAAGGTGGATGTGGATCTTGTTCTGTCTCTTAGCGGCACTGGCGTGACCTTACACAAGTCATTCAATGTGATTCTTTCAGTTTAATGCAAAGTGCTCAAATGCATGTGCCCAGCCCACCAGGAAACAAATGCTTCCTCCAACTGCCAAGAGCAAGCACCCGGCATGAGAGACCAAGACCCTCACGACAGGAGCTGAAGGCCAACAGCAGGTGCAGCTACCCCCAAGCCTGGAGGCCGGATGCCATCCCATCCCCTCTGTCTCCTGCCGACACTGTCAGGACATTGCCACTCTTGCCCGGCATTCAGAGTGGCCACTGTGGAGACCCAAAGCACTCAGCAATGCAAAGGATCTGCAAACACAGCCTGGGGGCTTTGGAGAAGGCAACTCACCAAAGCCAGGCGTTGACTCCAACGCAACAGGAGCTTGAATAATTAACCACATGGAAATAAGATCTTTAGGCCAGTCTTGGCCATGTGCTAAATCTTTACAGGGCCTAGAAACAGGAAGGGGCTGGATTCATGCAGAAGGGAAATGCGCCGACGTGTGCAGCGGAAAGAGAAGATGCTTCCTGAGAGGTATCTATCATTGCTGTCACCTCCTCCATCCCTTCGTTACTCGTGGCGAAACTGAGGATGGGAGGCAAAGTCGATGACCCAAAGGTCACACAAATAGTAAAAGAGTGAGCTGGGATTTGACAACAACATTCATTGCACTCCCAGGCTGCACTGCAGAGCTGTGGCAGAGCAAGGAGGATGGGAAGGAGGGAGGCAGGTGGCAGAGTGACAGCAGGCTACAGGAGATGGACACACGTGCTTTGCTAACCCTGGGCCACCCAACACTGGGATGGATTTTTAGGAAAACATTCGAGTCCAGGTGCCACTGGCTGACAGAATATCTCAGCCTGGCTGCCCACCCATAGCATCAAATTAAGCACTCTGGGTTTTCAGTGCTTGGGCAGTGGGCTTTGTGCTGCTTCCTGATGCATAAGGTAGCATTCTGAGTCATAATTAATTAGAGGAAGGCAGAATAAGCAAGCAAACGACCTCAGATGGAATTAATATAAACTTGTCTGTCTTTTCATGTCACTTCCAATCACAGAGGGCCAACAAGGTGACTGGGGTTGTGCAGACAAACTGCAGGGAAGACCTAGAGGCCCTGTGACCTCCTCAGTGCACTCCTCCTCCCAGACACACCATCCCCCAAGAGGTCCCCTGAAACCCACCCAGCATCCACTCATCACCTCTCTGTCATTAGGCCACTGGGGCTAGCACCCCTCAGCCAGCCCATTCAAGTTTGGGGTTTTCTCACTTGTTCTCAGATGAATGGACTCCTTGGTATTAAACTGATTTTCACTCCCTCCGTTAAAAATTCCAAACCTCCAATAAAGAAGTTTTTAAAGCAAACACCACTGATTAGCCCAAGCACCAAAACAACAAGCTGGCACAACTTCACTGGGTGATATGCAAAAGGCACCCCAATCAGACGCTACCAAATGCCCAGGGGAACACTGCACACCCCACCTCCGCAGAGGACCACACACTTTGACAGCTGTCAACAAAGAGAGGGAAATTAAAAAGGAAGCAAATAGCCCCAGCGTCTTCTCAAAAGTCTCTGCCTGTGGCTAGTGAGCAGGCATCCCACCAGCCACCACCACAGTGCAGGTTTCAAAACTTGGACAAGGCTTCAGTCCCCGGTCAGGGACCAATTCAGAGCCAAGCTTGTCTCTGCATGGCCATGTGCTGTGGGCCCCACACCATGGGTCCTCACACACATTTCAGCAATGCACAGGAGGATGGCACCCTGCCACCAACCTGAGCCAGCCCAGTAGCACTGGACACTGGGCTCCTGCTGCCTCGGGCCCCCATGACCTACCTCGTTGATGAAGGAGTGGGCGCCCTGCGGGCTGAGCAGCAGGATGGCGCGGCGCAGCGTGTCCCGGTAGCGGTTCAGCTCCTCCGTCTTCATGGTGGTGAAGAGGCTGCTGAACACGTGGCTCACGTTCTTGTCCACCTTCTGTAAAGAGACGTCAAGGCCCAGCCGCGAGGCCTGGTCCAGGAAGCTCTGGAGCCCACGGATATCTGAGCAGGAAAAGGGGAGTGGGGGAGGAGGAGGATAAAACTGTGGTTAAGCAGGAAAGGACCCTGCAGGACATCAAGTGCAGTGTCCCCACCTGGGCAGGGTCACCGCCTCCCCCGACAGGCCCTGTGGCCAGGAAGTGTCTTTCACGATGACCTCCTCTCTTCCTCTTCTTCCTCCTCTGTGGGCCACAATCTGGGTACAGCAGGCCCTGGCCCTAACCCCAGTTCTCTCCAGCTCCCTTGGTACCCCTATAGCCTCAATGATGAGCAGAGATCACCAACCACCCCAACCAGAGCTGGACCGGCCCCAGGATATGCTCATCTCCAGCCCTGGGTCCCCACCCCAATCTTGTGACCAAACATCCTTCACCATGTGCCCCTGTGCTGAGGCTCGGGTCTCATGTCAAGGACCTGATTTCCCTGGCTGCAAGAGCCCGCATCCACGCCTTGACCAGTGGGTGATTCACACCCAAGTCCAGCTGGAAGCTCAGCCCCTGGTGGGCTCAGGGATGAGCAGATGGCCCAATGCCGTCCACTGAGACTCCATCCCAGCAGGAGGGTGGAGTCCCCACGAGGTGGGCCCTGCTGGAACAAACCACGGGGGCATGGGAGCCTAGAGGGAGCCTACAGCCCAGCAGAATCACACTTGCTGGAGCTGGAGGTAACTGATTTTTCTCTCTAACCAAGACTGGTGTCTTCGCAGCAGCAGCCAGAACAAACCCTCTGACTTCCCCTAAGGGGCACCTCTGCCCAACCACGGAGCCAGCACAGAGGCCAGCGGGTCTGGGAGTGGGACAGTCTGAAGACATTCTTCAGGCTTGTTTCTCCTGAGCTGTACTGTCCAGGAGCCAGGGAACTCCCTTTCTCGGCAAAGGTAAGTTCTGTCACTTGCAGCCCAGGGTCTCAATCCTCAGGCCATGTTTTCCCAGCCTGGATGTTTGCTTCTTCTGATCCATCCCATTTCCTACTTCCCAAAGGCAAGGGCACCCTGGGTCTCCCCATGTCCTAAGTACCCCACAGGCACACTATCAGGGTCCCCAAGCATCAAAACCCAGTAAGCAGTGTTAACTCAGCCAGAGTCCCCAAGCATAGAACTCGAGTAAACAGCATTAACTCAGCCAGGGTGCCCAAGCAGCAAAACCCAGTAAACAGTGTTAACTCAGCCAGATTTCATCCCCACACTTTCTCTTCAAACGCGTTCTGTCAATCTGTGCTCCACACGTGCCAGGAGCCATGAGAGCTGCCTGAGTCCCCTGAGTGTCCCATCCTGCCAGGAGGACAGAGCACATCCCAGCTGGAGGTGCCAACAGCTTCACAGACAACCAAACTCAGTACCAGAGAGCAGAGGAGAGTGCTGTGGCCATGATGACTGTGCTGCTGGGAGCCAAGCACAGCGCCCCTGCTCCCCACAAGGGGAAGCCCTGGACTGCAGCCCCAGCACCTGCTGTGGACACCGATACTCCAGCCCTTGGACAGCTCCTTTTCCCTGTTCAGCCGCAAGCTGGGGGTGGAAATCACGACCATTTCCAGGATAGTCTGGGGGATCTGGTTCCTGTGGGGACCACCTGCTTGAGTCAGGCAGGGAGCCAGCTTCCTGATGGCCCATGGGGAGGGCACCGCAGTGGCCAGAGGGGAAGGCTGGGAGCCCTCCTGGAGATGGCCAATGCGTGACTGAGACTAAAGCCCACAGCATCTGCACTCCAATCTGGCCACAGCCTCCACCCAGCCCTTATCACAGGCACAGCCATCGCCCAAACCTGCTCACTGGGAACACACAACACCTGAGGCCTGCCCCAGCACCAGGGCCCCCAGCACAGGGACTCCACCTGTCAATATTCCTGGGGGTCCTGGAGCAGCCATACAGCACCCCCCCAAGCCTGCTGAGGACCCTGCAGCTCTGTAGGTAAATGAATCTCCTCTCCTTCTTAATTTGTTAATTGACACATAATAATAACTACGCATTTACGGAGTACAGTGTGTTGTCTTAAGATGTATATACATTGTGTGATAATCAAATCAGAGGGTACTACAAGTCCATCACAACATTTAGTATTTCTCTGTGGCGAGAAAATTCCAAATCCTCTCTTCTGGTTGCTTTGTTTACTTACTTACTTACTTACTTATCTGAGAAGTAGAGTTACAGACAGAAAGAGAGAGACAGAGAGAGAGGTCTTCCATCCGCTGGTTCACTCCCCAAATGGCTGCAACAGCCAAAGCTGGGTCTATCAGAAGCCAGAAGCCAGGAGCTTCCTCTAGGTCTTCCATGCAGGTGCAGGGGCCTAAGCACTCGGGCCATCTTCTACTGCTTTCCCAGGCCATCGGAGAGAGAGCTGGATGGTTAGAGAAGCAGCCAGGACATGAACCATTGCCCATATGGGATGCTGGCGCCGTAGGCAGAGGCTTAGCCCACTACACCACAGTGCCAGCCCCCTTCTGGTTACTTTGAAACATTCAATAGGAGACTTAACCGCAGTCATCCTGCTGCACCGTAGACCATCATCAAACACTGACCCATCTGCCCCCATCTCCCAGGCCCCCCACTCATCTCTTCTACACCTGACTTCTATCAGATGGGCTTTCTGAGATCCCACACGTGTGAGACCATGCAGTGCTTGCTCCCTGCAATGCTGTCCACAACTGCCAAGATATGGAAACAACCCAAGTGTCCATCAAAAGATGAATGGATAGAGAAAGGGTGGCGGATACACACAGTGGAATATGACTCAGCCATAAACCAGGAATGAAAACATCACTGAGGCCACCCAGATGAACTGGACACGGTATGTAAGTGAAGTAAGCCAGGCACAGAAAGACAAAGACCCTTTTAGCCCATCAGTGGGACAGGATGACTCGAGGCACAAGGGAGAGGGGGAGAGACCCAGCAAGACACCCTCAGCCCTGCGGCCACCCTGGGTCCACCTCTCCTGAGCACAGCACAGCCCACACCTGCCCATCAGCACCTAGAGCTACCGGTGAGGAGACCAGCAGAGGGCTCCTGTGCCCAGCACACAGCGGCTCTCCCACTCTATGAGGGTTCCCCCTAGACACGAGCTGTCCAGTAACAGCTGCTGGCCACACATGGTGTCTAAATGTGCATAAAGTAATATATTTATCAAACACACCAAAATGAAACCAAATGATATGTTCAGTTCCTCAGCACAGCCGGCCGGTGGACAGCAAACACTGCTCCTGAGTACAGGAGAACAGCTGCCTTCAGGCCCCTACCCCCTGCCTTGTGCTTAAAGACTCCTCCAGGGGCCAGTGCTGTCGCGTAGCAAGTTAAGCTACCGCCGGCAGCACCAGCAGCCCACATGGGCACTGGTTCAAGTCCTGGCTGCTCCACTCCCAATCCAGCTCCCTGTTAATGCATCTGGGAAAGCAGAAGATGGCCCAAGTCCTTGGACCTGTGCTCTGGCTCCTGGCTTCAGATTGGCCCAGCTCTGGCCATGGCAGCCACTTGGGGAATGAACCAGTAGATGAAAGATTCTCTCTCTCTCTCTCTCTTTTGCTCTAACTCTGCTTTTCAAATAAATATTTTTTTAAAAAATCCTCCAGCTTCAGCTCTGGCCTTGGCCGTCTGACCTGCTCTGGAGTACAGGACAGCATTAAACTTGAGACAAACAGAGGTTTGAAGATGTGCTTGGGCATTGCCGTTTCTGCTTGTGGACCCTGAGAAACTGCGAGAACAGCCCCTGGGACAGGCCTGTGGCATGCGAGCCAAAACAGAGCTGTCTATCTGGTCTACAGATTCCTCAAGAATGACACATGTCTGTTGTTCTAAGCCACTAAGTTTAGGGAGGGTCGGTGTCCCAGAAATGACCAACAGGTAGACCAAGGTCATTGGATGCATTCAATCTGGTCCACCTCATGGAACTGTAAGCAAAAGAACAAGGCCAGGGTCAGCACTGTGGCACAGTGGGTTAAAGCCACGGCCTGCAGCACTGGCATTCCATATGGGCACCGGTTTGAATCCTGGCTGCTCCACTTCTGATCCAGCTCCCTGATAATGCACCTGGGAAAACAGCAGAAGATGGCCCAAGTGCTACCCAGTGGGAGACCCAGAAGCTCCTGGCTCCTTGCTTCAGCCTGGTGCAGCCCTGGCCATTGTGGCCATTTGGGAGTGATCCAGCAGATAGAAAGTCACTCTCTCTCCCTCCCTCCCTGGAACTCTGCCTTTCAAATAAATAAATAAACCTTAAAAAAAAAAAAAAAGAACAAGGCCTAAACCTTAGAGTCACCCGCCACAGCTTGCCTGTGGCACTGTGCACAAGGCTGAGTACAAGCCAGCCCCGGAGCAAGACACAGCCACCCACAGATGGCTTCTGCAGCCCTATGCCTCCCCCAGGACACTGTCCCCATGGCCTTGGCTGTGATCCAGATCTGAAAACAGCTGTCAGGACAGTGAGAGCTGCCCAGCAAAGGCAGGAAGGTGGAGCCCCAGACCCACCATCCAGCCAGGTCTGCTCCTCTTCCAAAGATTCCTAAATTCATGGTAAGTCTTTTGAGTGGCAGACACTGGCCAGGCCTGGCTGCACATTCACACAAGCACCTGCTCTACAAGGACTCCCCTGGGCCCATGAGTCTGGTGGCACCATCCATGTGGCCCCTGGATCCATGCCAGTGTCTGGGGATGGAGGAGTCCCCTTCAGTCCCTTCCTACCTGCCACCATCTCTGTCTACAGAGAGGGGTCCATTTCCTCCCGGAGTAGGAGGTGCAGTGCAAGGGCAGCCAGCCACTGTCCAGGGACCCACAAGGACATCCAAGGACATGGCACACAGAACAGGAGCCTTCAGGGCCCCTGCCCATCCTCGGCTGCTGCCTTTCCGGCTCCTCTTCCAGCATCCCCCAGGGGGACAGAGCCACCAGAGAGAGTTCCAGCTTCCCGTCAGCGGCTGCCTCCTCACTCCTGAAATTAGTGGCGCCAGCTGAAGGCAGCGTTCCCCAGGGATGGCTCCCCAGCTCTCTCTCGGCAGAAAAGGTCAACTCGCAGCTCTCTTCC